ACTGCTTTCCTTTAGTAGTATCGTATTTTATAATCATTAGAAACACTCATTAGTGTGCTACATATACCATGAAAAGTTAGTCAAATAGTAAAAAAAAATAAGAATTAACTCCTTGGTTATCAAAAAGCGAAGAATAATAATGGATAACGAATACTAATTGAACAAAAACAAATCAATTAATAAAATCTCTGATCATATTAAGAAGAGCAACGGCTCGCCGTGGATCAACAAGCTCGATTCCATGGAAACCAGCATCATCAAACCTAGCTTCAACCCTAACACCAGCATTAACAAGCAAACTCACGAAATCTTGTTGCCGATCAACCGCCGTGTCTCCGCCGTAACCGATCACCAAACACCGTCCCAATCTCCCCACTTTCTCCTTCTGCGGCAAATAACCCAACGGATTACAATACCTATGATCCCGATCAACACCTTCCGGCAAACAAAGCTCCCACAACGCGTCGATCGCCGGAACCGGCATAAACGGATCGGCGAAATTCGTCAGCTCCGATCTCGTCCTCGTTTTCCCGCCAAAAAACGGTTGGTAAAAAACGCAGCCGTCGATTTTTAACGGCGTTAAATCGTGGTCTAACGAACTTAACGCCACGTGGAAACCGATGTTGGCGCCGTTACTCGAGCCGCAGATGTAGCACCGTGAAAAATCGGCGTAGTCTCTAAGCCATGGCTCTCCGTTAGTTGAGTCAACGGCTTGTTGTTTGACCCAAAGCAGAGCGTTTAATGCGTCGTCGTATTGAGACGGGAGTTTATGCTCAGGAGCTAAACGGTAGTTAACGGAGACGACTATCACCGTTAACTCGCTAGCCATTTGAGAGCAACCGCGGTTGTTTGCGGGGGAGTTGGCCGGGTAAAGGATCCAACCGGAGCCGTGGAGGTGGAGGATGATCGGAAGACGAGCGACCGTGTTGTCGTTAGAAGGGAGGTTGGTTGGTCGGAAAATTCGGACGACTAAACCGGTTTCTTGGTTAATTGTGACGTCTTTGGAGGCGGCGAGTTTTCCCGGGGACGGGTCCGGGTCGGGATTGACCATCGGATAGACGAAGTGGCGCGTGCATGAGCCATCGGGGTTAATTGTGATGTTTAGGTGCTTATGTGGATCGAACGCGGAACATGACTCACGTGACGTGGTTTGATCTTTTAATTGCGACATTATAATGTTGATTAGGAAGAAATGTTGGTGACTTTTTTTTTGTAACTTTGGAATTATTCTTGTTTGTTGCATTTCTTGTGTTTAACGGAGTTTAATCTGTGATTACGATGAATGTACGGATTAAATTGTGGTTAGGATTTTTGCGCAGTTTAACTATTTTTTGAAGGGAGTGTATGCGAAACAATTTTTGACCAATTCATATATGATTTTATATTTTTGAATGTGGAGTAATATTTCTACTTGAATGAAGGTCATCACTTTCCACTAAATTAGATAGGAACTAGTTGCATTTTCCTTATATATAATTTTTTTTTTATATAATATTTTTTACCTACAAAATTTATCGTCAGAATTTGTGTTAGTGTCGTCGATGTGTCACCACCCAAATTTAAATATGGATACTGTATGTTGTTGACAAAAAAAAAAACACTATATTCACGTGATAAAAATTGCATAGTAATGTTTTTTGCAATATCCAAAAAATATCATGTACATTAGTATTGTAATGTTTCATCAATTAAAATTCACCGGTGGATGATTCAACCAACTAGCATCTAACCATTTTGTAACATTCCAAAAAGTAGTAGATAGATGAAACACGTCCACTATTATTACGTCTCGTACTCTCGTATAGTATACAAAAATATTTTGATAGACACTAAGCAACATGCAATAATACATTTTGCCATTACGCCACATATCATAATATACTGATAATTTTAGAACTTCACTCACTTGTATTCGAATTAAAACAACGAAACTTGCATAAATTTCAATCACTTGTAATGTCTCATCAATTAAAATTCACCGGTGAAGTAATTTTTTAAGCAAAAAAAAAAAAAACTTACACAATAATTGCAGGAAAAAATATTAATTTATTAGCTAGATAATTTATAAGAATATGATTAGATCGGACTACTACATGTTTGACGTCGGACCAGTCGATGAACTCTTCATAAACGCCTCAACGGCGTCGTATAAAGCCTTAGCTTTGTTCTGATCAAACAACTCACAAGCATGAAACCCATCTTTATCAAACCTCGTCTCCACGTGCACTCCACGTGCCTTCAACATCTCCGCCACGTGTCTCTGCCGATCAACTAACGGATCTCCACCGTAACCGTTAATCAGAGTCGACGGAAAACGTCCCATATTCTCTATCTCCTTGGGCCCACTGCTTTTAATCGGATTACTGTACACGTGGTCACGATCTACACCGTCCGGTAAACAAAGCGACAAAAGCAAATGAGTCGCCGTTAACGGACAGATCCTATCGTCTTTGAGACGTGACTCTGAATCCGACGGCTCAACGCCACCGAAAAAAGCTTGGTTGATTATCAGCCCTTGGATTTTAACCGGAGATAGATCCGTATCCACCACGCGCAACGCCGCGTTGTAGACGATATTTCCACCGGAGCTAGAACCCATGAGGAAGCATTTCGAGAAATCTACATTGTCTTTTAGCCACGTGTCGCAATCTGCACCGTTGATCGCGCCGCGAGCTTGATCTCGGAGCCAAAAGATCGCTTCGACGGCGTCGTCGTACGCCGCCGGGAGACGGTGTTCCGGAGCTAAACGGTATTCGACGGAGAGGATTAGGGTTTGAAGACGATCAGCCATTTTCGTGCATGATTCATGAAAAGGAGCAGAAGCGGCACTGTAGAAGATAAATCCACCGCCGTGAAAGTAAACGATGATCGGAAGTTTTGATTCCGGCGGAATATTCCGGGGCTTGAAGATTCTGATGAAGGTATTGTGGTTTGGGTTTAGAGGAATGTCTTTGGATTGCTCTGTTGGGGGTAATTTGGGAAAATCACGGTGTCTGGTGAGAGACCCATCTGAGTTAAGTGTAATGTTGAGGAACTTGTATGGATCACTTGAAGGTGGAGTAGCTTCCATGGACGATGCTTCAGATAGAGAGAAAGAGAGGTTTGTCTCTGTTGTCTGGTGAAATGTGTGATTATGAAGAAGAAATTGGGGAATTAAAGGATCTTGAGAAGTGGAAAAGATCAACTTTTGTCATTAAATGTAGGGACTTTCTCATTCAAAGTTTGCAGTTGGATTTACCTAAAGAATCGTGTCGAATTTGCAAATATCTCTCCATTTTTAGTGGTTTAGATTAGACTTTGTACAATTGTAGAAGGAAACCTAATATAACGTCTAGTATATCTATGTATGGTGGACCAACTGTTAATGTGTATCAACAAACTCTTTTCCTTTAATCAATGATCCTATCTAACATAGTTCAGTGTTAACATATTTGTCACTATGAGCCTAGTGGTTGAGGCAGACTGGTTTGACTGTAATCGTTACAAGAATTTTAAAACAAATGCGTTTTGATTTTTGAGTTTGAACTATGGGAAGATTTGCAGATGTGTATATACTAATAAAGTGACTTTAAACGTGAAAGGACCAATTCCATGAAAATTGTTAGGAGCACTAAGGAGACAAGCACAAAAAGGTAAAATGTCCCATGCTCTTTGTCGTTTTCATACAATGGGATACAAACATTTTAGCATTTGGGTCCATCTACTTTTGTGCATAAATTTCAGCAAATAAAAAAGGCAATTAAACTCTAATCATGACCATGTTCTTGATGTCAATTGGAAATTCTTTCTTTATTAATCTAAACTAAAATGTTAAGCAACTAGATCTTCATAAATATTTGCAAAAATCTAATCTTATGGAATCAAACAGTTGCTACATTTGGCTACACTTGACTGATCTCAAAACCAAACCCAAACTTCACCGTGCTTTCTTCCTTGACTTAAACGGAAAACCCATAGGCGGCGAGGGAGAGAACTCAAACGGCAAATGTGGTGGCTCAGACGCACCCGAAAGCATCTGAACAATCTCCTTCATCGTCGGTCTCTTAACCGGAGATCTTTGCAAACACAACAATGCAATAGTAATACATAGAACCGCTTGCTCTTTCTCCAAAGAATGAATAGATTTATCAACTAACTCCAACAATTTACCATTGCAAGCTAATTGCTTAGCCCATGATATCAAATTAGCCCTTTCAAACTCCGACATTGGCGATGCAGTCACCTGCAATGGCCGTCTACCCGAGACAAGAACCAAAAGCAGAACCCCAAAACTATAAACATCACATTTCTCAGACAACACACCTCCACCGCCACATTCTGGCGCAATGTAGCACACCGTACCTCTCATACTCGGTGTGCTACTTACTCCACCGCTCTTCTGAACATTCACATCACACCACAAACCAGAATCTTGACTGTTTTTTCTTCCCATGACCGATTTGAGCTCGCCGCTTAACTCATCTACCCACCAATCTATACTATTCCTCTTCTTCCGCTTTGCAGGGTTATGATTCTGCTCATGAACAGAGGAAGCATCATCGTCTCGATGAAACCAAGTGTCAATACTTGAAATTGAGCTTAAACC